TATACAAGTCATAAGTTATAACAACATTTTTGTTTAATTATTTTTTTATTAAATTATTATTTTATTATAATACTATTTAACATATAAAAAAATAAACTAATGTTAAGTATTAGGTTTTATTTTTAATATAAATATATTTATAAAATTATAAAATTATTTTTAATAATATTTTCAAATTTAAATTATAGTTAAATAAATTTTATTATTTTATTTTGATATTATTTTAAAATAGTAAAACCAATAAGTAATCTTAAATATTGACTAAAATAAAGAAAAATTAATATAAATTATTTTTGATCTTGTATATAAAAAAATTAGCTATATAATATTTTTTAATATCTTTTAATAATATATTAGGTCAATGCTCTGAAAAAACTCTATTTAGGAGCATTGAGGGTAAAAGTATTTGGAGAGAATTAACAGTTACTAAACGTTCAACTTAATGTTTGTGTACCATTCAAGTTTTAATGATAAAGAGCATGATGCTCATTTAAATGTTTTGCCAATCAAGGCCAAAATAGTTTTTGTTTATAAAAAAAATCACTTATCTCGCCCTTAGAGCATCCACATTGGTAATAAAATGTGGGTGTCTTTAAATATAAAATTATTAAAATTTGAGTAAAAGGAAGAAAGAGAGTGTTTTTTGTTGAAATAGTGTGGTGTATTGAAATATAAAATTAATAAAATTTGAGTAAAGAGAAGAGATAGTGGGTATTTTTGGAGAGAGAGAATTGGGGTGTGTGTTAAATATAAAATTAATAAAAGTTGAGTAAAAGGATGAAAGAGAAGGTATAAACTTGAGTAAAAGGATGAATGAAAAGGTATAAAGTTGAGTAAAAAGAAGAGAGAGAGTGTTTTTAATATTTTTATATTGTGAGACATTGGTAAAATGTCTTCAATGTGGATGGCCTTAGGGCCGTTTTGATCATATTTGAAAGTAGTAATTCACATTTTTATCTTATGTAACCTATAAAAACAATTGTTTATATTTCATTTTGATAAGTGAAAACTGATAACATCTTGATAGAAACAAATTTCCCATATATTATTGATGGAATTGATAAATGTAAAAGCAGCTCCAAGCCTAGGGGTTCTTTAAAGAGTATCTCATTAATATTTTACTAATAGT